ACAGGTTGGTCCAGTCTCCTTTCACTTACCCCAAGCGACACAGAAGCTGGTTGAACTGCAGCAGGCTGCTGGAGTTAATGATGGGCAGCGGACCCTGGGACAGGATGATCTCCCGGTCGTCAAACGACAAGTCTGTCAGGGGTGTACCCAACGCCCTGACAGAGGAGCATATGACACACAAGCAAACGACTTAACATGATTCAAACGCACCTTTTAGCCTAAACGCCAAGGTGAACACCTACTTGGCCATGAGCTTCCTGACATTACTGGCAAACAGAGTAGGGTTGTCTTTCTCCTCGACTGATGGATAGTAAACAGGCAAGTACTGAAGGATACAGGAAGGTAATGTCAGGTCATGCCTACCACTAGGGTTGTCACGGTAACCGGTATAGCGGTAAACCCCGGTAAAAAAGTTGACAATAAAAATAACCGTCCAGTTTTTAAAAAACTAAATTATCTCGGTGGGTTTACCGTGGCCGCGGTTTAGGCGCGGTGACCCTTACCAGCCACCGTCGCTTCAGCTGAAGTTCCCGCGCACACGCACTTTTTAGTTTGCAACGGCACCAAAACTTTGAAGCTGAAATAATGGCCGAAGGAGGAGACGGCAGCGCCCAGGACATCCATCAGCCCTCAAAGAAGACTAAATCGGAAGTATGGGCATATTTTGGATTTCTGAAAAATGCTGAGGGACAGTTAATAGAAGACTGCTATCCCGTTTGCAGAACGTGCAGGAAACAAGTGTCTGCAAAAGGCAGCAACACTTCGAATCGAATGGCACATCTGCGTGACCATCACCCACGTCTCTACAGCCAGTGCAAGGTAAGTTAACATTAGCATTTTAGCTTAAATGCATGACGTGAGGACTTTTGGTTGAGGGAGAATGCAACGAGTCGCCGCAGCGTCCTCTGCCAGCATTTAAACCGTGTCACGGACACCCTGTTGCTGGATGAAGCATCGTATTTGTTGATGATGAAGAGAAATATACAATTAGTTCCTTGTCATTGATTTGTTTACTTATTCAATGCCATTTATACTTGAACATTTGGATTTGATTACATAGTGTAGTAGTTATTTTAGTCATTTGTTTAAAGTGGCTATTTATTTTAAATACATATTTTTTAAGGTTGACTTGTACAGTGCTCAAGTCAAGTGTGGACTGGAGTTTTAGATTTTCATTTTGATAATGAAGAAAACAAGTATATGAGAAAACAAGTGGTGTTTCTTTGATTTGTTTACATATTGTTTATGTTTTGAATGTTTGGATTTGTATAATTTAAACCTGCACTGACTACTGTAACATGTTCCAGAAAAAGAAGCTATTTGTTCCTTTACTTGTGAAAAGTTGCACTTTTGCTAAGGCTTTGTGTTATTTTAGGTTTAATAAACACTGTTAAACCTTTTCAAAACTATTTCAGTTTGTGTAGAACAGGACTATCAATGCTTTCTGAACTTATGCAACACCGTTTAAAAAATACCGCGATAATACCGAAAACCGTGATAATTTTGGTCACAATAACCGTGAGGTTAAATTTTCATACCGTGACAACCCTACCCTACCACTATATCATAAAACATACCAATGGTATAGAAATTCAGTAAGACTTCATATAAAAAGGAGACTTTCTGACTTTAATACTCTCACCTCAATCTCCATTGAATTATGAAGTTGGCACAAAGTGAGCCATAAGATCTTCAACCTTCCAAAAAGAAAAGGTTACCAAAGATTAAAAGCTCTCCTGCACATCTGAGTTCTTTCCTATCAAAAAGGGAAGAACTATAATCGCATGATGTAACAGACAGATGGTGTGTAGAACTCACGCTCCAGGGCCGCGCCACGTCCACGAAACTGTGTCCTGAAGAGAAAATAATTACTTGGATGTGAATCATTTCATATAGCTGGTTAAACATGGAATATCCAGGCAAACAGGATATTAAAATAGTTTGAGTTTCTCTTGGCGTCTAGCCACTTCGGTGATATAATTAAATCTACCGTGACTCTTTATTTTCCTTATGAAGAAGTTAGTTTTGAACTTGTTACCAACTAACCCATCATGTGTGGTTCTGTTCTGTGAGAAGAACCCAGAATACCCAGAGAAAAGAAAACACAAGCAAGAGGAGAACACGCAAACTCAGTGAATAAAGGCTTCAGCTGGGAGTTGAACCAAAGACTTTCTTGTTGCAAGGCAACAGTACTAACTAAGCCTTTTGAACCCTTCGAAGAGGTTGTTAAAAATTATGGATTTGGAGTCTTACTTATTAATATTCATGATAGGCAAACACCTTGCCTCTGATTGGCTAACATCAATAAGACTCTTACGCTGCCAGCATTTGCTCTACGTTGAAGTTTTATTTCCACTAATAAACACACTTAATTGTGTCTGTATGAAATGTGTTGTATAAATAAAGTTGCCTTGTCTCATTTACTGGAGTTAGACGTCCCACATTGAGTAGCCTCTGTCCCATGTTTGACGAGATGGGATCTGGTCACCCTAATGTTGCATGACAGTAACGTTAATTAATATACTCTGTCCTTCTTGCGTAATTTTTCAGATACGTTTTGAACAGCAAAACGGGACATTGGCCTTCCAAAAAGTTCAACTTTTGTCTCATCAGTCCACAAGGTATTTTCCCAAAATTCTTGGCAATCATTGAGATGTTTCTTCGCAAAATTGAGACAAGCCCTAATGTTCTTTTTGCTTAACAGTGATTTGCGTCTTGGAAATATGCCATTGGAGGGTCATGAAGGGACTGTTTTCCTTTCTCCTCAGGAAGAACTTATCTCCCTGAGATATTGCTCAAGGCCTTTTGATGCATCTGCATCTAAACAGTTTTAACTAGCTATTTGCCTCCTCCTACAGCTCAAGAGAAGAAAGAAAGCCAAGAACTCTCTTCTCTATTGAAAAATCAAATACCTTTGTTAGTCCAAATAATCATGTAAAGCTCAATGTTAAATCAATCTGTGAAATAAGAATGTTAATTACATGATATTATAATCCTATGATAGTATTTTAATAAGTAATTTAACTTTTAAACTACACACTAGACTGATTGCACGTAATGTTAAGATCACATGACACATTCCTTTGTCTCTCCAATCAGAGCTTTCCTGTCTGATGCGTGGCATAATCTGTGCGGTGTTTATATTTGTTGTCCAATTCTGATTCGACCATAAATCAAAACATCTGAATTATGAAACTAATTCCCACGTCACCCTTAACTCAGTTCAAACATTCTAGAGTTGCGAGTCGGCCACTCGAAACTTTTTAACCACAAAGAACCTAACGACAAGCTGGAAAATAAACATGTTGCAAGCTCCACCTGACGCAACGCTCCTTCAGAGTAAAAGCTGAACTCACTGACCCTTCAGGGTCCCGCTGACGCAGTCAACAACTGCCGCTTACCGGGAGGCAATCCCAAGACTAGTCTGTCGTACCGTACGCTGTTTCATTGGCTTCGGTACCGAAGGAGGGTCTGAGCAGGGGCGCAGATAGGATTTTCTAACTGGGGGGGATAAAGTTCCAATGTACCCTTCCCCAAACACACACACACACACACACACACACACACACACACACACACACACACACACACACACACACGCGCCTTAACTAGAGCTCAGTCAGTTTGTGTAATTTCATCCAATAGTTTATGTAAAACTAACACTTTTATACACGTGTTTGAAGCCATTATGCAGTGGAACGCTGGCAACAAAGCTCTGCCTGATCAACACTATAAATGATAAATGATCCGCACTTGTATAGCGCCTCTCAGAGTAAGGACTCCAAAGCACTTTACACAACAGTATGTCATTCATCCATTCACACACACATTTGCACACTGATGGTGATGAGCTACGATGTAGCCACAGCTGCCCTGGGGCGCACTAACAGAGGTGCCCCACTATTTAATTCAGTCATTTGTTATTCTCCCAATCAATTACTAACCAGAACCTCATGCTTTATGCAAAACATTAAATGAAGTTTTTGTTCTCATTTGTTCTTGAATTTCTTTGGATCTTGGCATGATGTCTAGCTTCTGAGGTGCTTTTGGTCTACTTCTCTGTGTCAGGCAGCTCATATTTAAGTGATGTCTTGATTGAAACAGGTGTGGCAGTAATCAGGCTTGGGGGTGGCTACAGAAATTGTACTCAGGTGTGATACACCACAGTTAGGTTACTTTTTAACAAGGGGGCAATTACTTTTTCACACAGGGCAATGTAGGGTTGGATTTTTTTCTCCCTAAATAATAAAAACCATCATTTAAAAATTGCATTTTGTGTTTACTTGCGTTATCTTTGACTAACGGTTAAATGTGTTTGATGATCAGAAACATTTTGTGTGACAAACATGCAAAAGAATAAGAAATCAGGAAGGGGGAAAACAGTTTTTAACACCACTGTAGCTTCATATTCTGTCATTTTTTCATTGAGACTCATTTTTGGTTGAATTATCAGATGAGTGTATAAAAATATTTTCAGAAGAAGGGGAAGGGATCTGAGTAAGACAGGGGTGTTAACGTCCTCGTCGGGTGACCAAACTCTGACCCCCCCACCCCACCCCCGGCAGCCCACCACAGCGGTTCAAAGCAATTCTAGAGGAAACCCTACGAGCTGTGACTAGTTTGACAGTCTTCTTCTGGAAGTTACAAGCAGAGGTGGAAAGTAATGAATTACATTTACTCACGTTACTGTAAATGAGTAGCTTTTTTGTAAATTTATACTTTTTAAGTCGTTTTTAAAAGCTGTACTTTTACTTTTACTTGAGTAAGTTTTTAAATAAGAATTGTAATTCGCTACATTTTAAATCAAATCCGTTACTGAGTAAAAATAATTATAGGCTTAATAAATTAAAAATATTACGTGTAGCAGCGTTGGAATGGAAAGAGACACCTGCATGAGCGCCGCGTCTAAACCGTGGGGGTGTGTGGGGGTGTACACTTTAGCTCAAAGACATCAGTTCAGTTCCTCAACTCACTGTTTACCTCCTCTCTCCCTCCTCTCCTGTGGGTTGGAACCCGCACCTTCGCGCACCGGTGTGACGTCATCAGAAATCTGCTCGGTTCGGTAGCCGGACTCGGTTCCGTGTTTGAATTGTGTTTCTCTACCGCTCCGCACGGAAGCGGCAAAATTACGTTTAGCGCTCCTAACAAGCGGAATCTCAGCGCTCTGCTCATAAAACAGAAGACCTGCAGGCCTCTGTGAGTTAAAACATCCTGATGCTGTTCAGGTGTAAACATTGTGCTCCATCCCTGTGTTTGAACTCAGAAGATGCTCCTTGATGCCACAGATATGTGATGATTTAGCTTGTTTCTTTATTTTACTCCAGAATAAGAGATTAAATTATTACTAAAGCAGTTCAGTGTAGTTAAACTAGTCATTCAAATGATTCTAACATGCTGCAGTGTGTGTGTGTGTGTGTGTGTGTGTGTGTGTGTGTGTGTGTGTGTGTGTGTTACACATATAGGACTGTATGAGACAGCGTGGTTTCATCAGATCCATGCAGTCCTATATCTTGGCTGAAGTAATGGCTCAGGAAAATAACATATTTCATACATAATGACGTCTCTGCAGTGTTTATGATAATATTTTATCTTATCTTTGGTCTGGGAGGTGTAACTTATCATGATACAAGCCTTTTAAAACACGTTAAAGTGTTACAAGAGGAGATAAATGCATGAATTTAAAGTTCATGTTTGGAGGCTCACGCTGGTGAGGAGACACCATTAGTTCTAGTAACACCTGGGCTCCCAAGGCCTGTTCTGACAGGATGGACGTTACGGGACCCTTAAGGATTCCAGTTGGATGATTGGAGGATTATTTAGGAGGATTGGAATGAACAAACTGATTTCAGTGGTGAAGGGTTAAAAGAGTGAGTGAACCCACTACCAAGGATGAACTTTAAAAATCAGCTGTTCTAAATAAGCATGAAGGTCAGAGAGGAGCTCTAGGATGGACATGGATAAAGGAACTGTAAAGTAGAGGTAAAGTAGGGCAGGGCCAACATTAACAGCTGTCATACGGTCCATCTGAAATGTTTGACTGCATTAGGCTTGTTTTGTGACAGGTTAGAGCACAGTCTCATGTTAGAGTTTTGTCATGAAAACACTGAGATACCTCACACACTGATGGCATCTTAAAAAATTATTTTTTCTCAAAATAAAGAATAATTTTAACCACAATTGAAACTTACCATCCTAAAAAAACCTCATCCAATCATGTGCACGTCCTGTTCTCACTGATTGGATAGAAATCCCTCCTTCAAGCTGAGCGTGTTTGAGTGTGTGTGTGTGTGTGTGCGCGCACACACACGAGCGAATTGTGAACTGGCGTTATGATTTAGCACTACTTAGCCATCCTTACGCTGACAAAAATGTAACTAAGCAACTTTTACTTTGAGTACATTTTGTTTACGATACTTTTTACTTTTACTTAAGTAAAAATTTAGGCAAGTACTTTTACTTGTAATTGAGTAAAAAATTATCAAAGTATTGGTACTCGTACTTAAGTAGGAAATTTTAGTAAACTTTCCACCTCTGGTAACAAGGAATGTTGCCATTTACCGCAGCAGAGTGGAACTCAATTCAATGAATCATTTCATATTCGAACGCACAACTAGGATAAGGCTCCCAGTTTTACTTTGATAATCGATCATGCTTAAGAAGAAATAAAAAAGTATTATACGTTTCTTAGTGAACCTCACCTTTATTAGATAGAACATTTTTAAATACTAAATTAGGCCCAAAAGTATCAAATGTGCGGTGCATCTATGTAACATTAGTTTGTGGAAAACAGGCCTTTAATGCCATGATATACTCCCACTCATGATCCTAAATGCCTAATCCTCACTAGGGTTGTGGGTAGCTGGGGCCTAACTCTGGCAGTCATCGTGGGACAGCCAAGAAAGGTCACTAGTCCATCTCATCATAAACAGTGTCTCACTCACACATGTTTTTGGGAGGAAACTGGAGCAGCTGAAGAAAATCTACTCATGCATGAGGAAAACAAGGTACCGCCATGCATAAAGGGTGCAGCTGGGATTCACACCTGCAACCTTTTCTCTGCAAGGTAACAATGCTACCAACTGCACCACCATGCAGCTCACAAACCAAACATTCATCAAAGAAGACACCTTCTATGTGATGAATTAAGCATTATGGTGATTATGAAATACACACATACACAGACTACTTCTTTGGTTTTGTGTTGGTTTACTATTAATGCATCAGCAATCGACTGAAGAACTTGATCTATTGAAGTCATATAAGCAAACTGAAATAAGTGTAATTTTAATAAATTGGCAGGTTTTGTTTCAAATAAAAGATGCGCTCTAGTTAGCATTAGCCCTAACCCCAGTCTATCATTAAGCTGTTTGTTTCAATTATCTGTTGTCCCCAAATTCAGAAGAGTGACTGCAGGAAGGAAGCTTAAACAAAAGCTTTCTAGGGAAACAGACCTAGAAGCCAAGCAAGTAATAAGACGTATTTAATTTATGAGAGAGTGAAGACGGGTGCTGAGAGGGAGACATGACACCTCTCCTCCAGTGTGCGCATGTGTGTGTGTGTGCGTGCGTGCGTGCGTGCGTGCGTGCGTGCGTGTGTGTGTGTGTGTGTGTGTGTGTGTGTGTGTGTGTGTGTGTGTGTGTGTGTGTGTGTGTGTGTGTGTGTGTGTGTGTGACAAGAGTACTAAAGAGCAAGATGGGGATGAAATTTCACCCCACTGGAACATGAAGTCATTCAACACATCGGCATGAGGACTAGAAACCTGTGACATCACGGGCGTGTGAGCACACAGCGGATGTGAAGGTGGAGACAGGATCGACACAAACGAGGAAACGGCCATGGAGTCATTAAAGAGAGCATGGAATGAATGTGGCCAAATTAGGAGGGGAGAGGTATCAGTACTTACCAGCTTGTCTGGGTACCGTAGTGTCACTGGCTGCACTGGGAGTCCTGGGATAAAAGCTCCTATAAAACACACAAAAGGACAACAATCCAAACATGTTTTCTAAACTAAATTATCGACCCTGTGCACTGTTGCTGCTCACAGCTCTGCATTTGGATTTTATACAATGAACCATTTAAAGGGTAACTAGGCAGTTTTGGCTTGCTTTTAGCACCCCCTAGTGTCCGTTTGTAGAACTGAAAGTAAAAAACTCCTCGCTGTGCGTTTGTCGTTTTAACACCCACCCTAACAGCTGACTTGTCTCCCCAGCCTTCATTAGTGTATAAAGGGGCGGTTTATCACTAAATTAAACAAATTGGCTTTGTTCACAATATAATAACATGCAGCAAACGTGCTGGAACCAGATTGCAGCGCCAGGTATGTCACCTCTATTTTTTCTATATTCCAAAAGAACGGACCGGCAGTGGAATTATTCTGGCCACAGGGGGCGACAGAGGCTGAATAACCTTTCATTAACCTTGTAAAGGGTCACTTTAGAACAGGGGTCGGCAACCTGTTCCCATCAAAGAGCCATTATTACCCGTTTCCCACAGTAAAGAAAACACTGGGAGCCACAGCAGCTGCGGCGTTGTGGGCGGGGCCTACCCTCAGACAGCAGAGCGCTTCTCACAACAGGTGACAACAGCCAGTACCGGTCGCTCGTGTACGTCAAAGTTATCTTTCATAAGAAGATAATCAATAAACGATTTATATAAAATGGATCCAGAAGTTGTAGCCCGTCTCTGCCTACAATATTTAGATATTTTTCACCCTGTTGGTGGTTTTACTGAGCAGGTGCCACTTTTGTCATACGTTTCTTTTTAAAACATGTTTAGACTGTTCAGAATACAAATCCAAGCTCTGTCACGTTTGATTGTTGTAATTAAACTTTGTAGGTGGGGAAGGTCAGAAAAGGATCCGATCAATTTGTTTTTCCCTCATTTACAGCGACGGAGATAACGGTGCAGTACGCCTGGCTCTGGTGTTAATCAAGTTCAATTATATCTCTTTGCAACAATTTTCACAAGAAAACAGTTAAAAGCAGGGCTTGTGTTGACCGGATAGTTCCCGTATTTGACCGTTTATTTTGACGGAGAAAGAATAGAAAGAATTACCCCGACGCATGCAGACGAACTGACATTTTATTCATTATGCACATCGCAGATGTAGCTAAATCACTCAAGAAAAGATTTCCATCTGAACATCTGAGATGGACACTGCTCAGCGCAGCTCGCTGTCAGTGCATACGTACGGTGCACAGCGAGCTGAGGATGTGGAGAGGGGCTTGGAGCGCGTCGCAGAACCAGAGCGCATGCAGGAAGATTCCTCCGACTGAAGCGAGACTTGTCACTTAGAAAATGTTCCCTGATTATGAAACTTTGGCTGAATAGCGCTTGTTCCTGTCTCCAATGTGGCGACACATCCAGGAGCTGAGGAGAATCCCAGAATCTCACATCCTCTTCAGCTCAGAAAGCGCCGATATGATTACGCACAAGCGTGACGCGTCAACCCGGTCTCACAGTAAGACCGGGTTGGAACTGTTCAGGTTTACGCAGACAATCTTTACATTTAGAATTAGCTTACAGATGTAAAATTAATGCAGTAAAATATAAAGCATTTTATTTAAATATCCATTCATTATTTTACAAGCACAGAGAGCCGCATCAGATGAATGGAAGAGCCGCATGCGGCTCCAGAGCCGCGGGTTGCCGACCCCCGCTTTAGAACAACCTAGCTCATGAAAATGATTTTAAAAAAGGAAAAGTTGAAAAGTAACCCTTGAAATGAGCCTTAAAGTTTAAACAACAAGCTCCTAGAATCTGTGTGACAGCGGATCTTCATGCAGCTGATGCAGCCAACAGCTTCCCTATTGAGTATCAATATATCCTGCTGAAGACAGAAAGCTACATGCAGTATTGGTTGCAGGAGAAAGACCCATTCAAGCTATTGTTAGTCCTTTGAATGACTTGTTGAATTGAGACTGAAACAGGGTGGGGTGAGGGACTTTCCACCTTGTCCTACTATAACTAAATACAGTACCAACTAATATCATCAAGAAACATGGACCGACTGCACAGAGGTGTGCTAACGTCTTGGACTGTAGTTTAAATGTCAGTGAGGCATTTTGATGTTCTTCAGGTACTCAAGTTTCCTCCCAAAGTCCAAAAACTGTTGTGTTAGAATAATCTGAGAGATTACGTATAAATGTGTATGTGTTTGAAAGAATTTGAGTGTGTAGTTCAACACGCTCACTTTTCCAAAGTTTACCAACTTCACAATGCTGCAGCTAATTAACCATTTCAAAAGAAACCACCCACACACTGTTAGAGCAGCTGTCAGGTTTTCACGTGTGGACGGATGAAGAACAGGACTGAAAATTCACAATTATCATCTGGGAATAAGTGGGTCATGACAGCAAAATCTGCACTTCTTCTGCGACCAGTTATACTTGAATAATGATCTTTTATTCTGAAGGCAGTTGTTCAAAGTTTTAACCTTTTTAAAAGTGAAGGGAAACTTAACACTTATCTAAACTAAGTTTTAATTTGTCATAATTTAGAATATTTTTTACCATTTGTAAGGTTTGGGTTTCACTGATTGTTAGGCATGATTCTACTATTAAAAGGAGGAATCATTAGACTAAGTCATGGCTGAGACGGTCTTCTATTGCAGGGGTTTCCAAATTGGGGTCGGGAAGGGTTCCCCACAAGTTTGTCTTTGCTATGGTTGTGTGGCTAACAAGCTTTCATTAGAAAAAGTGACATTTATAAAATCCCAATAACATACCCTACAGTATTATCAGAACTCCATATATAAGTTATAACTCTGTATAAGATTATGCCGTTATGGCTGCTCTTGAGCGCCGTTATGGCTGCTCTCGTGGTCTGCCTGTATCTGTTCTGTCTACATGTGTGTGTAACCTTGGTCAGGCTGTGCTGCGGAGTCAAGTTCCTATGCTCTGTTTCGCTGGAGCGCTGGCAATAAAGCTTTTTCTGATTCTGAGATAGTAAATGATCACATTTAATGCGTGTATGTGTGTATCACTTGAGGTTGGGGGTCCTGGCTTGTGTTGGACACGAGCAAGGGGGTCCTCAAAAAGATTCTTTTGGGAAGCCCTGTTCTACTGTGATTCTGCCCGTGGAAGTTGGACGTATTTCTAATTAGACAATCTAAGTCTGAGCTCCCGCCTCAGCTAAATTCAGATGTTTTCTTGAAATATAAATGTAGATTATTCTCATTTCATCAAAATTTTCTTCAATTTGAGACAAAGTATAAATTTGATAACTTGTTAAATTACATCCAACAAACAGCCAAATTTATTTTATAACCCAGACATCACACCTTTCTGAGTCACTTAGAAAACTCTTAAACATACAAGGTCATGTTTCATCAGAGTTCATTCATTGTCTCATTTAATATCACTGTGAATCACCATTCATGATCATTTGCCATTCCTTATCATTAATGTAGTAATAAATAGATTTTTATAAACTATATTTTTGTCTCTGTGTCAAATTATTATAAAGTGTTGTTTACTTGGATTAACCAAAGTAGTTTCATCAGCAATCGGATGTTAAAGGCTCATTAATATTGATAATCCATATTTTTATGGAAAATTATATTTTACTGAATACCTTTATATTCTATTGATAATTTATTTACTGTAACCACCTACAAATCGTTACAAAAATAAAGGACTTTAGTAAATTTATCTGCCCGTGTCTCTAAACCGCTTTCATAAAATAATGTTGCCAATTTACCACAAAGCTGAGCTGACATGTGGTCGTTCGTACGTGGTTAGCCTGTGGCGGTAGTGTTGCTGTCATGTGCTTTTCACAAAAGCTTACTTGATGGCATTATAAAAGGGGGTATGGGGGCGGCATCTGTGCTGTTATGGACTTCCTTTTAGGTTGAACGTAACTTGATTTTAATTGTTGTGCTCCTTAACTTTTTTCACAAGCCATTCCAAAAGGTGGCTGTCCTCCTCAGTACTTGTGAACAGTGCTTCAGCTATAATGGAGAGAAGCTCCCAGATCTCTGCATTGCTCCAGTTTGCCATCTCAGCTGACCTTGTGTGCAAAAGTAGAGCCTATTGCCTGTGTTTACTTTCAGTTTGAATATAGTTGCTCATCCATTTCTTGTTCTTTTCTTACAGTTTAGTAAAAAAAAATGTTTTTTAAGTTACCCGACATATTTCAGCTAGTATCCCTAGCCATCTTTTGAGATCGCCGGTGTTGGTGGCGTCACTTCCTTCCCGTGGACAAAAGGGAGTGACGCCACCAACACCATCGATCTCTGATGATGGCTGGAGATTCTAGCTGAAACACGTCATGTAAAAACTATTTTTTACTAAACTGTGTAAGAGAAGAACAAGAAATGGATTCCAAATAAAAACACAGAATGAACGTACAAAAGAGTGAATATAGTTGCCAGCCAGGGCTCAGCGGACATTCCACACGTGATCATGGCATCATCTTCTGTTGTGACAAGGTGCAAACTTCATTCACAAGTCCAGCATTAATTTATTACAATTAATATCAAGCTTGGTGGCACAAAAGCAGCAAAATTCCTGCATCATCCAAAATGTATGCCAAAGCCATTCCAAACAAGCACCATTCCTGAGCCAAAGCCATCTTTGTAGTTTTTCCCTGCCGTAGCTCTAGCGCTCTAGTGTTTATCTAGATTCCTAGACTACAAAAAGAATGTTCAGTGGAGGCTCACACACACACACACACACACACACACACACACACACACGCACACACACACACGCACACACACACACACACACACACACACACACACACACACACACACACACACACACACACACACACACACACACGCACACACACACACACACACACACACACACACACACACACACGCACACACACACACGCACACACACACACACACACACACACACTCTCACACACACACACACACACACACACACACACACACACACACACACACACACACACACGCGCACACACACACACACACACACACACACACA